GGGTTTGCCTGTTGGTGAAGTATAACCCATACTGTTCTTTTAGTCTTTCACAAGTGTTAATGGACGGTTGAAACTGTTTATTTTAGAATTCATATTAGCCGTATGCAGTATAATTAGGCAATTGCCAAAATAAGTACGTTATAATATAAGGAATTCATTTGCATTTTATTACTATTTAATAGTCATAAACAGGAGCTGAAACCCAGCAGTAGGTAGATCTAGAGGTAGATAGGAAGATGGGAGATGGGTGGGTTGTACTAGCCCAATGCTCTGCTTATTTATTTAAAATAAGCAACCCACTTTTTTTACCTAATGACATAGGTAACTATTCCCTTTGTTTTCTTCAGTATAAGGGGTATATGCACGTGGCCGAACACAGTAAATGAGGCAAATAATTTATTGAATTTTAAGACATTTCTTATATCGATGAATAGAGTATCAATTCACATTTAAAATAGGGGCGCCAAAGTAGGATGTCGCTCCATCCTAAAAGTAACCTCGGGCCGGCAGTACCTGATAGGGAACGGAGCAATTCCCACGCTTGTTGCAGGGGATTTCAATGCCAAATCTGCCGAATGGGGTTTGCCAGTAAATGACAGTAGTGGGCAGATAATTATGAAGATGGGCGATCGACTCGACGTCGTCGTCAAGAACAAAGGGGGCCAACCGACCTTTTTCAGGAGGAACCAGCGAACCTTTATAGACTTAACTGGAAACATACGTCAGAGACTGGAGCGTATTGGATAATGAATCAGAGTCCCCCCACACATGCATGACCTACAAAATCTTCATCAAGACGAAGTTATTACCGGTGAAATTCAGGGGGATAGTGAACATAGACCGCCAAATTTTCCAGGACTAACATCCGACCTTCAAAGGGTCCTAGGTCAAAGGGATCTATGACTTTCTAGAAGGGCAAGTAGCGAAAGCACACGACACAGCGACCCGTACTGGTGGAGCGACGAGGTGGCGAATGCCTGCCAAGAATGCGTCGCGGCGAGGAGAATGCGCACCAGGAGAGCAGGCAGGGTTGGCGAACCCCAAGTAGGTACTAGAGAGATTACAAAAGACATACAGAAACAAAAAGCGGGCCCTCAAGATACTCAACGGCGATGAGGAGACGTGGAGAGAGCTATGCGAAGACCCATATAACCTACATATGAGGGGAGGGCTACAAGTTGGTCATGAGGTTGCTCGCAACCCAAGGCCACCCCTTCGAACTAACGGAAGATAAGAAAAAAGAAGCCATAGCGGATCTATTCCTGACACACCAGGCCCTGTCCTCCGCCCGGGATCCAGCAGGCATATAGTTAGGCTTTTCTCTCGCGAGAAACTAACCTAAGCCAAAGAAAAAGTTAAACAAGGACGCGCTCCGAGCCCCGATGGGATCTCACGAGAAGCGGCCAAAACGCTGGCAGATAAAGGACCTGATTTCACCCTGAGGATCTTGAACAGCCTCATCATAAAACAAACATTTCCGGATGAGTGGAAGATGGCAAGACTGGTTCTCATAAGTAAGCCTGGCAAGCCTCTAGGCTCCCCAGGCTCCTTCAGACCGCTATTCCTCATCAACACCCAAATTTATACGTGCACCTCCTCAAACAGTGGTTGGAGGAAAAGCTGCAGGCGAAGAGAGGCCTATTCAAATACCACTACGGCTTCAGATGGGGTAGATCCACAATAATGGCGATCAAAAGAGTCCTGGAACTAGCGGCTCAAACCAGATGGTAAGGACAGGGTAAGGGATGGTGCGCCTTGACAACGGTGGATGTTAGGAACGCCTTCAACTCGGCTCCCTGGGTCAATACACTGAGCAGACTTAAAGAACGAGGGATTCCAGCATACCTGACAAATACGGTTGTGGACTATTTCACACAGAGATCCGTACTTTGGAACATCCTGTACGCTACGATCCGATGTTGCAGCTGAACATTCCTCCAGGGGTGGAAGCCATCGGTTACTTACGCCGAAGACCTGGCCGTAGTAGTCAGTGTAGGCGCTAAACCAGAGCTCATAACAAAGATTTGCATGGGTAACAGGTGGATGGAATAAAGCCATCTTAGCTTGGCCCCGGAGAAAACAGAATTTGTAACGCTATGCGGGAAAACCAACATACTGGATCTCCTGTGCACGCTTGGGACAACAACGATTACCCCATCCAAATCGATAAGGTATTTATTGAGAAAGATTTTAACTCAGGGAACTCATGCGCCTTATGCCTAATATTGGAGGCCCAAAAACTAAAAAACGGCAAATGCTTTACGGCGTAGTGCAGTCGATCCTTCTGTACGGTGCACCAGTCTGCAGAGAATCTTGGCCTTCAAGAAATATAGTGGGCTATTAGAGGGATGCGAAAGAAAGGCACTTCATACGGTGGTGAGCGGATATCGCACAGTGTCGACGGCGGAGATACACGGATACTCCCTCGATCGACTTACTAGTGAATGGGAAAGGCCTTTTGGCAAACGCAGAAAACCTTCAGACCGCAAAGGCCAGAGGTCAGAGATGAAATCCTAAACCGGTGGATAAAAAAGCTTATTTCAGACCTACGACCGTGGCTCCGGTGCAACCATCGAGAAACCGATTACTTTCTGATCCGGGCCCTAACTGGGCGTGGTTCCTTTGCAACCTACACCTGCAAAATCGGCAAAACCGAGGAAAACTGCACCCTTTTCAACGAGGTTGATAATAAGTTGCGAAAGGCAGAGGAAAATCCTGAACCTGGACCTGTGAGAAACGATGTCCATGACAGAGCTAATGATGATGGACCAGGGCAATTGAAGAAAAATTCATAACGCGACCAAGAACCAGGAAAGAGATGGAGGAGAAAGTAGGATTAATAATTGATTCAAGTACGACAGCAGAGTATTCCTGCCCACGCCTCGCAATTGGCAGATAGTAGTGAAAGGATTTTAGTGGGTAGTCGATCAACCTCGTAGTCCCACACACCCTGGGGCGCCAGAACACCAATGCCCCAGGCAGTGCATAAAGTTTAGGTTGGTTTACATGCAAATGTTGAGCCTACTGTGAAAGGGTGTTATTTTCCATGATGTTGATGCTAGATTGATGTTCTTTATTTCTTGTTTTGGATGATTTTCCTGTTTGTTCAATATTTATAAACTCCTGATTTAGATAGTTTGTTCCAAGGTTTGTTCGATTTAGACTTCTTCTCTTATTGGTTCTAAAAGCATTCTTTATCTTGCTTTTGGAAAGCTATATGGAAATAGCAACGGTGTATGTAATAGATTGATATTTTTGGTGGAATATACTATTGGATTGGATTTTAGGATGAAGAAGGTTGTGGGTAAATGACAGAAATTGATCTACCAGTGCCTCAAAAACAAGTAATGATATCATCAACATCGATGCCAGTAGATTATACCACGAGTCAATAATGATAGCTATTATTCCCGAGGAATAATAGCCATTATTGCGAGTAGTATACTCTACTTTATTTACGACAAATTAATTTATTTGAAATTTTCTTTCCATAAACGCTCTTTGTTCATCCATCTCAATACAAATACACAAGCACTACGCGTTTGACACTGACACTTTTGAGTTTGTTCAGGTATATTGTTTCCATGGTACTAATTATTTAATTTGAGAAATTTTGTGATTGGTGTGCAAGCGGGAATAATGACCATTAATCCCTGCGGGAATAATATATGGCATTATACTGCCAAAGTCACAAATATAATACTTACATTATATGTCAAACGTAAATAAAGGAATCTTTGACTTAGTGGATGTTTATATATTTTCCTCGATTTTGATGTGAGAATGTCATTATTCCCGTACGCAAAATCATTGAAGAATGAAGCTCATTCTTCAATGATTTTTAGTGACATTTAGTTTTCAAAGTATACCTATTGGTACCTTCAAAATTGTCAAACCTTCTAAAATGATAGAATCCACCTGTCAGTTGGCTGGTAAGTAAGTGTCACCAACTGACATATCTTGCAAATTAAAAATCCCCAACTAACAGCGCCAACAAAAAAAAATTTAAAAATGAAAAATAAAATCCAAAATCGAGAAAATAGTATAAAACACACGTTGCAGAAGGCTATTCTCGCACTCATTCGTTCGTCCACTCGCTCCTTCGTCGCTCGTGGCCAAATTTCGAATTTTTTTCTCGATCATCCCTAGAAAATTCACCTAATAACGGAATTAAAGGATCACTTATTGTCAAGCACTCATCAGGAACGTTAAAACTAAAGGTAAACTCGAAATAATTTTTATCCAATAAGCAAACAGAGAGAAAGAGGACCACTTTCAATATACAATAACAAGAAGGAACTCGATTTTTTGAACAGGTTGCAGTCAATAAAAGATTTGATGTTGGTTTAGTAGATGATATAATATAATATGATCACGCCTGATTAGGATTTTGCAAAAAAAAAAATGAATTCAAAAAATTGAATCGTCTTTTGAGAGTATGGAAATAAATAAAAGAAAAAGGTCTAGTAGGTACTTATAATATTTAGTGAACAATGGATGGGATACAAAACAAATAATTATTCCACATTAAATTTATATTCATGATTAACAGAAATTTTAACCCAAGAATTGTTCTTTATTGCTTTTATCTTTTATATCTTCAAGTAGCTACCTACTTTTTAAGTATATTGTTAAAAAATTTCAGCTGGCTTTAGCGATGAGTCTAATAACCATTTATTTCCTTCCCTTCTCCCTCAAACCATCAATAATCCTTCATGCCTCCCTCTGCTTTCATTCTTTAAAGCGTCTAATATTTTCTTATTATTCTTCTATTTCGCTAATCTTATGGTTTGCCTTTACTGTGAGCGTTAAAATACCCTCATTAATCTTTTTTTTTCCAAAAAGAAATATAAATAGTTTCCTGTACCTATTAAAAAATTTGAAATACAGTACCGCAAAAAGTAACGACCGGCAACACACTAATATAGGATATCTTACATTACTGATAATAAATTTTAATAATAAATGTATTTGTAGATTTTTCTTTGGTTGTGACTTACCTGGATCGCCTTCTTGATAAGCCCGGGCGATTTTTAATAACATAAAATAAATAATCGGACGGATCAATATCATCATTTTCCAGTAATGAATTACTATTTGTATTTACTTCGTTATCTCTATCCATATTTAAATCTCATTTCCTTTTCGATTATATTTCAAATAGTACACATTTTTACACGATATAAAGAAGTTCATTATTATTTCTACACCTAAAACTATACACAGATAACATAATTAGGAACAATCGTAAATAAAGTCACCACCGGCATAAAATACGGTTCGTAATAATTATGTTATCTCTCGACGTTATCATTTTCCAAATGATAAAATTATATTTATGGTAAGATCAAAAGGAACGGTGTTGAGCAAATAGATTTCTTAATCCCCAATTCGTATTTCTACATCTAAGTTTGTTTCGAAAAGAATCACAATGTTTTCAAACCGGTTCTAGTTATTATTGGTGCAAGTTCTGAGGGCTTTGAAACAACTAAAATGGCGCTGTTTGGTTTTTCAATTATTGTAGATTGTCCCTACTGGGTGATTAATTCAAAGTTGGAAAAGCTTTTTTTCAATGGACAGAGTGAACAAAGTCAAGCAGATATGATAAAACTCCCAACTAACCTTTGGGTCGTTGATTCGGTGCTTCTGACCCAAAAATTCTATTGAATTAGTGGGTAGGTGTATTTCAATACAATAGATACCTAATCTTGAATGGAAAACCAAATTATCACAATCCATTATTACGAATATATGCTGATCACTCAGCTGCTCACCAGCAATCATTATATCTATAACTTGTTGAATTGCACTAGGGCCTGTTTTAATGCGAAATGACAAACGGTTCTGTCAACGCTTTCTTCGGTATTCATGGCTGAGGCCACTAATAAGCGTTGCTCTTCATCTTTACTCACATACCAATAATTCCAAAATCTTGCTTTCGGCAACAGCAGCACTTAATTGTGGGGAAATTCTGATCTATCTTGGCAGATTTTTTTGGCAGAACGCAGTATGTCATACTCATACACACAAAAATAACCATAGCAACAACCCATTGGTTGTTTTTTGTCAGCGTGCTTTACCAACTACTTTGTAGCGCCCTTTCGGTTTTTCCTTTTCTTGCTTTAGCGGTTATCTCGGGCGCCACCTTCAGGATTATTGTGGTTGAGGGCCCACGTGCACCAGGTAGCTTGTTATAGTGGAGATCAGGGGTCGAATCAGATGCTGGAAGTTATTCCTTCTATACCCCCTGTAAATCCTCCAAAAAACTCCGAGAGAGTGAAAATGTGTATGTGTGCGTGCGTGCGTATAGATTAATGGTAACGGGCGGTTTATAAGCAAGCGGTGAGTAACAGAAAATTAGAAGCGGTCATGCAATACAATAGCTGTTAGATCTTAACGGTTTTAACTGTTTCGAATACTGATGTACCCGTTTCACACTTTATGTCAGACATTTCGGATACAGACATGAATTTACTTGGTTGGTCAATACGGTAACCTTAAATCGGTTAGAATCAACCGCATCGGCGGTGGAAATAAAGCCCTGTCCGTACACATGAACCGTTATAGTATAAATAATATCTAAGAGAAAACTATCCGTACACATCAACCCTGACAGTTCATGGAAACTTTACACTATGTCGTGACACTAAAACATGAACCAATATATGAAGAGAAACTGTCCGTACACGTAAACCGTGACAGCTATAGAACTTTAAACTTTGTGAAAATAAATGTCTTTGAGAAAACTGTCCGTATACATAAACCGTGACAATTTATAGAACTTTACTTAGTAAAAATAAATAGGTATCTTAGCGAAAACTATCCGTACACATAAACCGTGATAGTCTATAGAATCTTAAATTCTGTCCGTCCAAGTGAACCGTGACAGTAAAAACAAAAATATAATTTACCAACCAAGTATTAATGAAAAATAACTTCCTCGCGTAGCGGTGAAACAGGTGCCAGTCGGTATTTCGGAGAGAAGGCCTACTTCGGTATTCGGTGGAAGTCGGAAGCGTCTACTTAGTTGTTGGACTCGGGCCAGACTGACTTAACCCAACGCCGTTCGTTTGTAAGGAAAACGCTCGACGATGGAAGGGCAAGCTTCGTGGGAGAAAATACCATGGTGCACGCTTCGGCTACCATAGGTCCAAAGCCAGCGATGCAGCCTCGAGCGTGCGAACAGCAAACTGCTAATTGCACCGAGGTCACGCGTCAAATATTACTATATTTGGAAATGAATAATATCTCGGAGATATTCAAGAAAGCCGCACAAATAATTAAAAATACGATAATCAGGTAAAATCATTACCGCGGGATTGACCGAAAATTACCTAGAGCAAATAGTTGAATTAAAATCAATTAATTAATTAAATTGAAGTCAGAGGCGCACACATTTTCGGAAAAAATCTGGTAACCCCGTTACAACTTTTTTATATTTTTCTTATCTAATGTTGTATAACACCCCCACCGCTCAGACCAAATTTACCCCCTGTTTGGATTTATTGAAAAACTACTTGTACAAAAAGTAAGAAAGAAAGGTTGAAAAACAAATAAGATTATTGGTTTTTCTCACCAGTAACTAACTCTCAACAATAGTAGATAAAGTATTTCTACAAATACACAACCGTATCAAAATATTAACCATAGAACCTACATATTCTAAAAAATTACGAACTAAAAATGAAGTTCATATAAATATGTTCCTCTTCTAAAGTACACTGTTCACTGGGTCAGTTAAGTTAGCCCCTCCCATAGAAAATTTCTGGATGAAAATTATCCCATAATTTTGCTCTCATTTTGCTCCATTTTGCTCCACTTATTTCGATTTTTGCTCCATTACAGTGAAGAGACTATGTGGCCTATTAGGTGGGGGTGTGAAAATTCAGAAATTTGATCATGCTCATTTTGTTCTCCGAGTATTGCTCCATTTTGCTCCCTAATCGGCGAGTTTTGCTCTATTACCAGGAGCGACCTACAGAGCTCCCAAGAATCTCTCCCACTCCCCCCCCAGTGAAAATTCTGAAATTTGATCATGCTCATTTAGTTCTCCGAGTTTTGCTCCATTTTGCTCCATAATCGGCGAGTTTTGCTCTATCACCTACAGAGCTCCTGAGTTTTGCTCCATTATCGGCGAGTTTTGCTTCATTATCAGGAATGACCTACAGAGCTCCAAAGAATATCTTCTTGCCCCCCAGTGAAACTTTTGAAACTTGAAATTACTCATACCGAGTTTTGCTCCATTTTGCACTAACAGGGCTTCTTGCGGGCTCTGTTTGTCTATTTGCACCAAAGTTACACCAGTCTGCACCAGATGCAAAAAGTCAGTTTGTCTCTGTCAGACCCATACAAAAAAAATATAAGGATAAACCTTGGATAAACAAACATGTTTGGTGTAGGAAGTGTCGGTTGGTGCCTTGTTAGTGCGAATAAACAAACAAAGCTAGTGGAACTAGGGACCACCCGTTCTATTCACGGCCATTATACTCAATGCGCTTTGCACTCAAACGCTTGAAAATCAGTTACAGGTGCATCAGGAAAAAGAGACGAGGAAAATGAAAGCAGCTTCAGAGCGCCTGAGTGCTCAAAGCGTGGCACCCGAAAGCAGCTCAGGTAATGGAGCAGAACTGGCCGATCATGGAGCAAAACGAACCGAAACTCGGAGAACAGAATGGATATGATCAAACAAAATGTTCACTGGTGTGGGGGGCTAGGAGAGATTCTTAGGAGCTCGTAGGTCATTTTAGGTAATGGAGCAAAACTCGCTGATCATGGAGCAAAATGGAGCAAAACTCGGAGAACAAAATGCGCATATAGAAACTGCAAAATTTTCATACGTGTTGCAAGGAGAGATTCATGGGAGCTGTGTAGTTCATTCCAGAGCCGCTTTCGGGTGCAGTGTGTGAAGCACCTGGAGCATTTCACGCCCATAATACTCAATGCGCTTTGCACTCGAACGCTTGAAAATCAGAGAACAGAATGAGCATGTTCAAATTTCAAAATTTTCACCGGGAGGGGCTAGGAGAGATTCTTGGGAGCTCTGTAGGTCATTCCTGGTAATAAAGCAAAACTCGCCGATCATGGAGCAAACCTCGGAGAACAAAATGAGCATGATCAAATTTCAAAGTTTGCACTGGGGGGGGGGGGGGGGGGGCTGGAAAGATTCTTGGGAGCTCTGTATAGTACGGGATACGAGGTCTATTTCATCAAATCATTTTACACCGTCTTGCATTGTTATCATCAGTTAGATAACATGATGCTGAAACGCACTTGTGCAGGGAAATAGATGGGAGTGGGGAATTTCGCTGAAAAACATATTTCAGAAAATGTCGTCATAAATAAGGAAAATATATAATTATACACCGTCTTGCATTTATTTATTCAGTTAATTTGTACACAAACAAAATTGGATTAACACATGCAAGACATTTTCATGGAGGTTTTGGGGTTGTTATATTAGATAGAAATTGTCAATTTTTCAGAGGGGTGAAATATCATTTCACACCACTTCATTGTTGATTTAGATTAAAGCTTGAATGTAGAAAAGCCACTGGATACTGATGCAAGACCTCCTGTGGAGGGATAACGGGCTGCAAGACGGAGGTCAATGTGTTGTCTTATGAAGGAGTGAGAAATCATTTTACACCGTCTTGCACTGGTACTAATGGGAAAAACAGAACACATTGATAACATTTTTAAAAATACAAGACGTTCTAAATGGAAGGAAAAGACTGCAAGACAGTGATGAAGTTGACTAATTTTGACGGGGGTCAATCCATCAGGTACAAAGGTGAATACTACTCCAAGTTACAAATTACACACATTTATTTTAAATATTTTTGCTCTTTACCACATATAATAATTCTATTTTGTAAAATTCTCTTAATAATATGTATATTTTAACTCTACGGACACCAAATAAAAAAAGGTTGAAAATTGTTCTTTTTCTGACGACTTATATTAATTTTTTTTTTTTTTTTTGAGGTGGATATGCCATAAAACATAACGGATTGTAAGTATTAGGTAAATTTGAGAAATTTGATTTCAAAGCTGCGAAAAAATGACACAACAAAAATGATCTGTCTGGAATTGTAAACAGAAATTATAATTCCTGTATTCAGCAGACTCCCCTGTTGAGCTGCTATGTCAATTGTCCTTTTCCATCTGTATGATTTAGAAAAGAATGAACAGTGAACGGTTCAGTAAATAACTCAACGGTTCAGTTAAAAAAGAAAACGGATTTATTCACTTTTTTCCCCGAAAAAA